GTGTTCCTCGTCCGGCGATTCGTCGTTGCGGAATGACCCGTCAGAGCTGCTATCACTGGGTGGAGGGTCGTCTTCGTGAACCACTCGTCGTCTGCGCTTGACGCGTTCGCTCACTCGTCGTTGCACTCCGCGTTCACGCCTCCGGCCATCAGCTTCCTCATTAGACAGCGCGTCGTCAATAAACGCGCCAGTAGGTGTTGGTGGAGCTCGGCTTCGTCGTTGTTGCCGAAGTCCCGGATCACGCACCCCATCCTGTCTTTCACCGGTAGCCCTTGGTGGCACTGACTTCGATGTTCGCCCCCGTCGTCTTTCCGTCACTTCGGTGGCTTCTCGGCTCCGTTGCTGCTCCTTTTGCATTGTGGTAACGATGGCAGCCAACTGCTGTATTGTCGTAGCCAATGCTGCCATCTCAGTTCTCGTCGCTGGTGCTGCTGTATCGGTACCTAGTGCCAAAGACCCCAAGGACGCCGTCGACTTCCGTCCGTGCGATCCACCGGATTGGCTGTCCGTATACTGCTGCAACTGTGGCGATCTCTTGCGCGGTACGTAGCGGTGCCGATGCCCGTTCTCGCTGTCCGTGCTGTCATCGTTGCTGTCGTACTGCACTTTTGCTTTCGCCTTGCCCTTCCCGGGTGGTGAGCGCTTCGGAGGTTCCTTCGCTTCTTCCGCCGGTTGCTTCTCAGTCTCACCCTCGTCTTCCTGCTCAACGTCGCGGGTTTCAATGGATGCGGGTGGGTTCTGCGCTTCCGCTTCTTCGGGCTCGGATGTGGCCAAAGGCGACTGAGACCGCGTTTGCATTGGGTGCGAATCCTGCGTAGCTGTCACTGTCGTTCCTGAAACTCGTCGATTCTTCTTGCGCAACGAATGCCCCTGTATGACCACCATGTAGCGGACCTCTTATCTTGCCCGGTCCGTTAGGCAAGCCGTATAGCTCTCGCTGCGTCCGTCCTTCGTTGAAGTAAACACGTCCACACTGATGGCTGTCAGCAACTACTCGTTGCCCCGCCGGATCGTCCACTTATAGCAGCGCGACCCTATTTATTAAATGTAATACAGACCTCGTTCACCTCCTACTCGTTCCCGTTCTCGTCTTCGTTCTCGTTCTCGTTCTCGTTCTCGTTCTCGTTCTCGTTGCACGGCACTCCGTTCGCCCACAGCCACTCCAACGTGTAATGAGCCCGCCAACTGCGTCTGCCTCAGCGCCAACGCG